CGCCTAGATGTGTTTTTGGAAAGCTTGTTTTGGATCCATGATTTTGTCGGCTTTGTTTTGTATTCACGTCGGCGATGTCATTTGTTTTTTACGTCGGCAAATCTTGAAAATTATGCTTCTTGGCTTGTATTCACTGTATTTGTATATGTCGGCTTGAGAAGCCTTTTGATCAAGATGTAATACGTATTTTACTTTGTTGTATTCAAGTTGTAAAGTTATGTAAAGATGTATGCCATTCCATTTGACCTATGCACTGCTCTTATGGACCACTTGTATTTTAAATTATTGCTTCCGCACTTGTGAGCCCCATATATTTGTACTCTGTTTGTGTGTGGATTTCGTAAGGTGGCCTTCGGTAATCTCGGATTACTGGCCATCACGGCACCAAATTACTAGGGGCGGTTTGGGGTCGTGACATGCGCTTATGTTGCTTTAGGGTTGCTGCTTAGGCATGTTGTTGTCATGCATTGTAGTAGCTTCCATCTCTCTTTTGTTGATGTATTTGTCTTTGACTTCATCAATAAAGAGTTCTTTTTTTGTTGATTAAAAAAAAAAAAACACGTAGTAGAGGATGTTTGTCAAAATTTTCTTGGGCAGAATTGCGCAATCTTCAATCTCTTTCACTCTCCAGCCTGCTTAATTTTGTAAAATTGTATTTGGAAAAACTATTGAATTTACTTATCTGTTCATTTTATGTTAGAATTGTGTTGTCATTTTTATTATCACTTTAGAATTTTTTTCTTTTTGCTGTTGCCACAAAACCAGAAGTATCATATATAATTCTATAATTCTAGATAAAATTTTGCCTCTGCTTGACAATTACAACAACAACAACAATAAAAATAAAAAATAAAAAAATAAAGAAACAACAGTGTGGTACTTGCCAAAATGCAAGTTAGGTATAACTATATTCCCAGCCAACATATGTGGGTGGTTGTGTTTTCTTTTACATTGCATCACTGAAGAAAATTGAACATTGATATAATATAAGAGAGAAATATTTTGAACCATGAATTGTAAAGTAACCCCCACACTGTTTTGGAAGTTTTCCTCATACCAAAAACAGAAATATATATATACTAGGAGCGTGGGCTAGGTGCGTTGCATGATAGCCCGTGTCCATGAGTTGATGTTATATATAAATTGAACTAATATTTATTGTAAACTTAGTGAAAATTCATAATATAGATAAAAATATATAAATAAAACAGGAATTATACCTGAAACATTATCTATTTCTCAAAAAAGAAAAAAGAAAAACAAAAAAAGAACATAGTCCGAATAGAGGTGGAGAACAAAAAGTCCTTCAAAGTATACTCATATGTATGATAACTATGCACAGTTGTGTAAAACAATAATGTTTTACCAGTAAATCAACAGATCATGTTTCTTGGTCTAGTTTAAAATTTAAGTTTCAAAAGTTTTGAGTCTTGCACCTAGTAGTTAAAATATAGATATATAAACGCATGAAGTTTTCATATTTACAAGCAAAAACATAAATTTAAGGACCTCCAACCATAGCAAACTTAGAACAAACCTGCTTAAATTAGAGTAGCAATAAACGTAAATTATTTAATAATAAAAAAGAACTAAACTAAGTCATCATTTGAGACATAATATAATAGTTTTATTTGAGTCTGCACAAACCTGCATATGTAAACTATCTCCCAATCACTTGAAACATTCAAACGGAAACACAATAAGAAGATAATAAGCGGCGAAAGAAGAGAATTGTGCAATTGAAACCATAGCCAATACCACAGATACTTCCAGTAATAGTGCTGGTACTGCCATGATCAAAGTCACAGAGGGTGTGATTGCAATACAGTGTTTCAAGCACATAAAAGAAGAACTAAGAGATCATCACTAATCATAAAATAACGGATTGGATGGGCAAAAAATGGAATGTTTTATAGTATTACAAATTTCAGAACAACTCTTTGCTGAGTTAAAGAAGAAAAAACAAATCAAGTGGCAGCAAAGAAAGACCTATCATTGTTTCACTTCCACCCCCACGTGAACACTCGCGTCCATGCACACACAAAAACCAAAAAGAAAAAAGAAAAAGAACATAGACTTGCTACAATATTAGCAACAAGCCGGAAAATTATAGAAATGAAATCATCAGTGCATCAAAGGGTAAGAAACCCTTTGAATGAGTGAGAGAAAGAGAAGGGAGAGGTGTTAGGTAGCTGGTCCTTGTTCTCATGGATGGTGTATTGTTTCTTTTTAGTTTTGGTGTTCCATCAGTTGGCAATTCATCATCTGCAGCTTTTGATAACCTGGTCCCTTTTGATATTTTGTTGCCAACAGTTTTTATGTTTTATCCAAACATTCAAATGTAAACACTATGTACCATGCAAGAATGAGCAAAGCAGAATCATTAAGGTCCTAGATTGTTAGGATCAAAACACGCCCAGAAAATTATCTCACACACAGAGAACACAATATTTATGTGGTTCGGCCCAATGCCTACGTCCACAGAACAGAAAAGAGAATTTCACTAAAATGAAGCAAAATACAAAAACGGAGGAGATAAACTCTCACTCAACTCACAGCTCTCTCTCTCTCTCTAATGATACAATTCATCCTCTCCCTCCCATCTCTATTTATACACAAAGAGAGAGATACCAACCCACCAAAAATTTCTACCCTCTTTAATGGTGAATGGTGAAAATCAACAAAGGCAACAACAGGAAGAGAAGGGAGAGCTGATCTTCCAGATGCCCAGCTCAGACCTCCTTCTCTGGAGGTGGAAGTCTTCTCACGCCATCTTCTTTGATTCTCTCCTTTGCATGCATGGGGTTGGAACTAACATAGATGACTATTGTCTAGTTCCATAACTTTCTCACAATTGTCAATTTCGGGTGCCACACCACCAAGCAGAAGTTGAGGTGCACTAAAAACAACCAGAAAGTCAATGTTTCTCTGCAGTGAATTCTCCTATAATCCACTACAGGAAAAAGAGGTTTAGGCGGCGTTTTTTTAACGACGCATTTTTAAACGTCACTTTTTTTTAACATTTAACGACGTTTTATAAAACGTCGCATATTTGTTTTACAAAACGACACCGTTTAATAATAGGAAACGCCTCCAAATGTGTTGTGCCTCACGCGCTTGGTCTCCTCTTTTCAAAGCCTAATTTTGAATCTCAGACTCACCTAAGACCCAAATTTTCGAGCTCTCTCTCTCCCTCTCTCCCTCTCTCTCTAAATCTCAGAGTGATTTCGAAGCTCCACCACTGTCTCTCTTTCTCTCTCTAAGTCTCTCTCTCAACCCTCTCTAAACCCTTATCAGAGCAATTCAGGGATTCATCTCAGTGATTTCATCACAAAGATTCAGAGCGATTTCATCTCAGTGATTTCATCGCAGAGATTTAGAGATTCAGATCGGTCTCCACCATCTGCACCATCGTCTCCATCATCATCTACACCATCGTCTCCTAAGGTGAGCTCCATCGTCTCTCTCTCTCTCTCTCTCTCTCTCTCTCTGAAGCTCTTCTTTCCCGTCTCTCTCTCTGTTTCAGTGATTGATGAGTTGTATATGCTCTAGTTCGCCCTCAATCCAAGATTGATCCATATGAGGTTAGGGCCCATGCTAAACAGGTTGTGCAAGATCAGCGCCGTCTGAGGGTTGGTCTTCCAATCTCAGTTTCATCGATTCTTCTCTCTCTCTGTCTCCCTCTCTCTCGATCTCTCAATCTCTCTCGATCTCTGTCTCTCTCGCACAATCTCGTTATCTGCGTACACATTATCTGTACTTTTTTTTGGATAATTTTTTTTCTCCTAAAAATCTCTCTATACAAGTATATATATGAATTTATATATGTATTGATTGAATAATCATCCTTATTTTATTTTCAAGCTCTCAAATGATCCGATCGTTGATTGGTAGTGATGGAAAAAATCAACTCCTGTGAGAAAAGAAACCCTTTCTCATTGGAGGTAAGTACTAATATATTTGTTTACATGTTTGTTCTGGTTTTGATCTTGTTTAGATTTGGGAAGTGATATCAATTTATTAGCATTTGTAGTTTGAATGCCATGTTTTATTCATTGAAAATACAGTTAAGGTAATAAAACGACATTTAATTTTTATTATGTTGGGCTGATTATGTTTTGCCGTTAACAGAGGACAAGCATTTTGCACTACTGCTGCTGTCCTGGGAGGAAAGAGCTGGGCATCTCAGATATTTGAGTTCTATCCAATCAGAGAGGAATATGAAAATAAGGGTTTTTAAGATCTATATTAATATTATACCATGTACTACCTTAAGAAATTTTCTATTTATCCTTTTTATATAATATATTATTACAATATCAGATATCAATCAGATTGATTTACTTAGGTTAAAGTTTGAGTCAGATATCAATCAGTAATCTCACTGATATTTCTTACAGGATGGACAAGATTCTAAAGATCCAAAGCAAAGCACTGCTGATATGACAGTTTTTGTAAGTCGCGTGATATATGGTCCTCCCTATTAGAATTTTTGTAACTCTGTGGTTTTCATCTAGCCATGGTGAAGTGATACTTTTCTGGTGATATGAAGTATACTTCGGGCATTTGGATTTGTTCTGCTCTTATTGTGACAACTCCTTTGTTCAAATGCATAATACATACATAATACATAACATATATTGTTTGTTCAAATGCATAATGCATACATAGATATATATACTCCTTTGTCACAGTGCTGTTCAATTCATGGCTGTTATTGTGGTTGATACTGCCATTTATTGTTTGGCTCGATGAATTTTACTTTGGTTTTTCTTCCCATTTGGTCGTCATGGACAAAGAAAACTTTTCTATGCTACTATTATTTTCTGGAAGCAATCTATTAACTGCAGAGATCCATAATTAAGAATTTAGTTTGCCAATGTTACCCCAAAAGTTGTGTGAGTTAATGCCTACTAGCTTTATTTGAACTACCTAATAGTTAACTAAGTTGTGAATTTCTTATGTTTGGACTCGAGCCATAATGTATGCTTTCCCCTCAAGGTGGTCCAGGGGTCGGGGAATCAGTCTTTTGAACTATGAACTGACATGGATTTCTGATAAGATGGAGGGGTAAAATGGGGTGTGTGAGTATGTGTGTTTTGGAGGTTGAAATGAGAGCATTTGGATGTTGGTTTTTGGTTATTATTCCAGAGCCAGAAGGGGTAGATGGTTAGAGGGAAGCAGAAATACTATTTGGATTTACGTCTCGCTTGGGCTCTGCATGTGAAATTGAAAATAAAGATATATGTCATACCATCTATATCTTTAGTAAAATGTATATTAACATGTTTGGATATTTTCTCTGGATTCTTATACTTGAAAATGAACTTTCTTTTTTTCCCAGTGGCTTTCTAAAAACGTCAATAAGAAGACCGAGAAATCTGCTCTGGCAAATGAAGCTGTTTTTGTAGGTACTAATATAGCATTTGTTCTCAAAATTTATATTTGGTTGTAATTTCTCTTTCATATCATTTGGTAATTATCTGTTGCTACTTGGGGACAGATAGGGGCTCTTCAGGATTCACAACCAATTCAAATCAATCTACAAAAGTTGTTTATCCAGATACTTCGAGAATGGTTATTTACGATCCAAGGCAGAAGGCTGGTATGCTGTAATTTTTTTGATAGTTTTTTTTTTGAACGATTTTTTTTGGGATGGTTTACTTGACAGTTTTATTTGCCAAGAACGCCTGACATCAATTGACTGGAGGTATTGGGTTTTTTTAGGCCTGTCTGCACCTGGACTTCCAGCTGTTTCAAGCACGTTGACTGCTTCAAGTGTTGTGTTAACTGGTGGTGGAACACCGAATGCTCCCAATGAATTTTTGAAAGCAACACCGCCTGCTTTGTTAGCATTTATAGCAAATTTGCCTACTGTAGAGGGTAAGTCTCAAACCTAAGAAACATGGACATTCTGACACGGAAATTTTCAAAATATATAGGACATGACACCTGGGGGGACATGTACAAAATTATATTTATTATATACATAAGGATAAATGATTTTGGGGGAATATCAAAAAAATAGAGTAGGAAAAATAATTACAAAATAATGAATGCATAAGTGATTCATGCACATAGGATTGTTCAAATAAAGCTTGTACCTTCATCATTTTGCAATTATATTTCTTACTAACACATTTTTGAAATTTTCACAATAGTTATTATGTCGTATTGTGTCTAAAGTGTCCAAGGAATGTCGTATTGTATCGTATTGTACCTTCTCTCTCCCTCTCTCTCTCTGTGTGCTGTTTGACTGACTAATGTTTGATGATTCGTTGCCGAAATTGCTAGGTCCAGCACCAGACATTGATTTTGTATTATCAATATGCCTGCAAAGCAACATACCAACAGGGCAAACTGGAAAATCAGTGAATCCCTCAACACAATTACAGATTGGTCCTGCCCCAAGTGCAAGTGACCTTTCTGGTTCAAGCAAACCTCATCCTGTTCCAAGTGGTTCATCTTTCAAAACAACAAGAGACAGGAAAAGAAGAGATGCAGACAGTATGTCTAAACCCCTTCCTCCCGTTGACACGTTATATTATGCTATATCACATAGACATTTAGGAACATCATCTCTATACGTGGATTTGTGTTTGTATGGTGATGAGCGTTAATTTTTGATTGCATATACATTAGTATGTATATATATATTTAAAATTACATATACATTCATCCATAAATTTAGAGGGAAAATTTCAATTTGCCCCTATGGTTCAACTCAAGTTTCATGAACTTTAAACAATAAAAACCAATGCACAGGGTGCTGCACTAGCATATGGTTAGCTCATAGATTGGTTGTCCAAATCTAGAACTTTTTTGATGCTTGTATATGTCTTTTCTCAATTATTTTGCTGGATTTTTGATCAATTGAGTGGTTGGGTCAGTAGGACATTGGTTAAAGTTTGTAATAAATTTTTGGTTTGCTATATATGATATCTATATTTATAACATAATAGACACAGAATAATTCTTTAGGTTGTGTCCATAATCATATTTGGATAAAGAAACATATTTGTGTAGGGATTGACCGAAGCCTATGGTGCCCACCGATAAATGTCAAACCAACCGTAGTTGGGGTTCCTTGTGATAATACTTGTGTCAAACTTGCTTCAAACCTGTGTGTGGCGCATCACACTATGATGATTGATAATAGCAATAGTAATGACTAGCAATGTAGGCTCTACTTTATTGATCTCTCAATTACATCCTCTCATTGAATAAGAGTTTGTCTCACGTTTACTTCTTTGATGTTATGTGTTGAAATCCTATTTACCCATTAATGTTGTTACTTGTACAGTTATACACGTATCTTGTTTCCTATTATTATTATCTTGTTTCTTATGACACTTTGAAATTAGAAACTTTAAGTAATGTCTAGTTAAATTTGAATATTCAAATTTTTTTAAGAAATATTGAAGTTTAATGATTTAACCTTGTAGTATATTAATTTAAAATTAAATGAAAATGAAGTTTGGTGTGTTTAATTATGCTTTTAACCGTGTGAAATCAACTTTACAGGTTAAATTGGCTTCCCTTGAGAAGTTGTCTCTGAATGCAAAATGGATACTTTGATAGAGATATGGCGACAACAAACTTCAAGAACTAAAAGAGATGAGAGTTCAATGTTCTGCACCCTTATTTTTGTGCTTTTACAGGTTCTTAACATGAAATTCTGTTTGTTTTTAATGGAACAAGTGATATTTGAAAAATTGATGTCCTAATTTTTTTGTGGACCGAAAGCTGGTGGTTCTCCATGAAAACAATATCGGTTATTGTGTAATACATTGGCATGAAATTTTGTTTGTTCTTCTTGAATGGCTATGCGATGTATTGCGTTGTGTCACAGCCAGAATTTACTTAGCACCATATTCATGTATGTTCTCTTGAAACAAATACATTTGATTTTTTTTTTTCTTTTTTGTATTTGTGTTTGTAGTTGAAGGCCTATTTTCCTTTTGCTATTGTACTTGCCAAAGTGTTTATGAGGGCTTATGCATCACAGAATTAGCACAAATTTTTTTTTTAAAAAAGAAAAAGAAAAAGAAAAAGAAAAATGAAGCTATAACTGCATTTTTTAAATGCCACTGTAGTGTTATAGTTTTAAAATAGAAAAAAGCTACCACGACGTTTTAAAACGTCGTTAAAAGTTGACGTCAATGTTATGTAACACATTTAGCGGCGTTTTTAAAAACGCCGCCTATTCTCATACAACGACGCTTTTAAAGCGCCATAAAGATACAGCGACGGCCGCGTCCTCGACGTTTGATACTAAACGCCACAAAAAGAATTAGCGGCGTTTTTGATAATTTTAGCGGCGTTTTTTAAACGCCTCTAAAAGTCTCATTTCCAGCAGTGATCTCAAGCAACTAAAAACATAACAACAAGAAGCCATATTAGCATAGAAACTGGATGGAACTATATCAATGACAATGTCCTAGATTAAGGATGGGAGAAATCTTACATTAACAATTCCAGGGCTCTTGGCAGTATCCCATGATCAAATTTTATGTGATCTACAAGCGAGAAAGGGAAAAAAAATTAACATTAACCATGCAAATACAAAAAAATACGTGTCCGAGATTGCACAGTAAAAAAGTTACCTGCCATAACTCTCTTGTAGAGTTGAGCAAGATGTCAAATACCTGACGTGACAGAGCAGAAATATAAGAAAACATCAAAGAAAATGGTCACAAGAATAAATGCTTGCCTAATTCAATATAACCACCATCTCTACATCACTCTTTGACTCATTCATTCTAAATCAATAGCTTCCCGTTACTGTAATGTTAATGACCTATTAAACAACATTATGAACCAGAAAAAACTCCATACACTAAAGCATGGATCCTGTATAGTATCTCGTTAGAAAACTTAATGTCTATTTGCTTCCTACAATATCAACAAAAAAAAAAAAACCTGGGAGTTGATAAGCAATATATTCAGCAAATAGGGGACATACACTAATTGATAACTAAAATTTCACCTAGAAACAAGAAAGACGGGAGATTCATTCAGTCATAAGCCTGAGTTGCAATCTTTTTAAATATTCCCAAATGATTTGCTTCAAATGAAAACTTGTCTTTATGATTTAACTCTTCAAATTAGGTACAGAGCTGCTTAATTGTCCAAAGTCTATTGTACTGTCTGATAATCAACATTAATGTCGATCAAGTTCTTGTTTCAATTTATTGCCACATGAGGCATTGAATTGACACGCAAATTTAATTGCAGGTTTTGATATCAAAACGGTGGCGTTTTGATAAACGCTTTGGAAAGTTGACATATAACTGCATCTTTTTAGAAACATCTTTATTAAAACGCCATAATAGGCAACTTTTCTTGCAGTGTCTCCAAGAAACTACAGGAAAAGAAAAGGAAAACCAAAGACGTATTCTCAAGCAGAATTTTTTATTTTTTTCACATATGAATTAGAAATGCACAGTTACATAATTACTTAGCAATGTAACAGTTCCTAGGCCACTAATTAAACACCCAATCACAACTCCACACATATTCCTAAATCAAGCGAACATTGCGCATTAAGATGGCATTGTGCATTAGTATCATTAAATTATGATGATGATTCAACAATAGCCCTTTTCCTGTAGCTTGTTCAATCTAGGAAAAATGCTACTAAAATCAACAATTAAAATTGAAATTGATTATGATAATAATAGTTTAATTTGAGAGCAATAGATCTCTATCCATTTGAACCCAACCGCTTGGCTTGCTTGAACTTCTCAAGCTGAACTGTCCATGAACAACAACATCCTTTGAACCTCCGAATCTTTGGAGAATTGCATCCTCCTCCAATTCAATCATCTGCCTCTACTATAATGACTCATTAGATTAAATATGAAAATATAAAGCACAAATTGATTGAAAGTCCTTCGGAATCCAGAATTAAATACATGGAGAAAAAAAAAACACCAACCTTAACGGAGAACTCAAACAGTTTCCGGCGGCAGAGCTAGGATTAGAGTCCGTTCTCTGTTCATTGGTGGGTTCAAATAAAGAGAAAGGCGCAGAATGAAGTGAGGGACAACCATATCATGGGCGCCTAAATATTAAGACGCCACCGTTTCGAAAAGGCGCAGAATTTTTGCAACGTTTTAAGAAACGACATCTCACCAATCCTTTTTTTTGGGTGAATAAACTTCTCATTGATCTCCGGTGACTGGCGCAGAAAACAATGCCGTGTGACTGAACAGAGTCCGTGTGCGAAAAGCGCTACATTTTTTACTGACTTAAGGCAGTGTTTCCAAAAACGCCACCAAAAAAAAAATAAAAATAAATAAATAAAAGCCACAATAGACCCCTTTTCTTTTTTTCTTTTTGGGTAGTGTTAAAAAAATGGGACTACATTGAACAAGTAACCAACTCAAGTCCTAGTGAATTTCTATCAACAAGAAACAAAAAAAACACCAATCTTTGATGAGCTACATCTCCAATTTCGGAAATGCTCCTAATGAAATGAAAAAATCACAATTGACACTAATATGATTAGAAGGATGATGTGCCATCCTAATTTCATGAAACCCTTGTAAATGAAAGGGATCAAGTATGATGATGTTATATGTTCATAACTATAATTGAAGAGAATATGAAAAGAATACTTGAATCCTTGTGGGCACGAGGTAAAAGTTAGAGAATGTAAAGTAAAAAAATAATGAGCAACAAGATATATGTTAAATTTTGCTTGTGATCCATACACAGAGATTACACTATAGTTGTTTTAAAATTCGTGAATACGAGGTGTATGAATCTACATAAAATATAAACACCGAAGAAAAAATAAATAAATATTTAGAGATGCTTTCTCAAATACATACTGAACAAAACAAAATGGCAAAAAGTGATTCCACAAATATAAAATTGAAAGAAAATGCAGGGTTGTCGAGAGAAAAATACATTTCTAAGAGGCAAATACCGGAACTTTTTAATTTAAAGATCACAGAGAAATATGGCATACCTTCTTGACCAGTTTCAAAATCATGCTGTCCACGCAACTCATTTCCATCCAGATGAGCTTCACCAATAACATTTATAAGGGACAATTGCAGTTGTAGTTCTTCTACAAGGAATATAACTTAATCATCAAATGGATCTTGAAGAATTTACTTATTTTCTGTCCTTCACGATAAAATATTGATATCTATTCTCTCTTTCTATTTATATATAATATAAGAGAACACAGTAGACAAAACCATCAAACCAAATGGCCATCATATCATAAAGGATTCATCAACCAAGAAGCAGTGGAGGCTTCTCGAAGCATTAATACCGATTCAATGCATAAAATCAGTATGACAATTTGCTGATTGAATCCCAACTTAACTGAAAAACTTCTTCACCTAACTACTACTACTACTAATAATAATAATAAGAGTCCTCTTCTCAAAGATTGTTTTGTTAAATGACCAAAAACATGGAAGTTGTTAATAATATACGCGAGTCTAACACGTTAAACTATACCACCAGGGTGATATCTTTAACAATGCACATGCTTTCAACATAGAAGGACAGGGTTCGACACTTGGGGGCGCACTTTAGAATTGGCACTGTACATGTTTCGTTAGACTCTACCTCTTGCTGTGGTGGTGTGTGTGAGGTCCATTATTATCCCGGTAGTGGCTCTTTTCGTATAAGTTGGGTTAATCTTCAAGAACTTTCATCTACTTCAAAGAAAGATCAATGGAGTCTTCATCTGCAACTGTTCCTCCAAATCTTGCAATGTTGTTTTCTAATCTGAGCTCACTTGTGACTGTCAAATTGGATAGCACAAACTTCCTCATTTGGAAACATCAAATGCAGAATATTCTTAAGAGCTACTAATCTCTTGAAAATTGCAAATGGATCATATCAATGTCCTCCGGCAATGATTCTGAACTCCTGTGGATCAGAAGTTTCAAATCCAGAGTTTATCCAATGGAGACTAGTTGATGCACATCTCCTAAGTTGTATCACTGTTACTCTATCTTCAGCAATCTTCACACTGTGATTCATCTTCAAACAAGTTCTGAAGTTTGGCTATATCTTGAGAAGTGGTTTACTTCATTGTCCAGATCACACATTCACCAACTCAAGAACAAATTGAATTCAATATCAAAAGGTTCTGATTCAATGGAGGCTTATCTTAGTCACATAAAAAGTCTTGTGGATCAATGGAGTATGGCTTCATCTTCTGTTCATGATGAGGATGTGGTCCTTATTACACTAAATGGTTTACCTACAGAATATGATGCACTCAAGACAGCTATTTGTGCTCGATCTGAGAGCATCTCAATGGAAGAATTGTCATCCATTCTCTGTTCTAAAGCAATACACATTGAAGACAAACTTAAACACACATCAGATCTTACAGTTGCCTATTCAACTGTAAAAGGATCTAATGCTTCCAAAGGATTCAATTCATATCATCATCCTAACCATGGATCCTATCGAGGAGATTCTAGAAACTTTCGTGGCAATCGATCTGTGACGAGATTTTCTGGTTCTCGTGGCCAATCTCAAAATCGCAGTCGAACCAGCTATGGCACTGGTTGTCAAATTTGTGGAAAATCAAATCATTCTGCATTTGATTGTTGGCATCGCCTTGATCCTCAATATCAGCCACAACCACAACAACATACTACTTCACCTTCATCTGCTACTCGTGTGCCTCATCAGTCTAAGGCCTTTGTTACTTTCATGAATGATGATAATGCATCTTCATCTTCTATTCCTTGGTTTTTGGATTCTGCAGCCACTGATCATGTTACCAATGATCTTCATCAACTA